TGTTCGTTCTGCTTGGGTTGGTCTTGTTGGCAACTAACTTTTATGGCACGTTTAGTAATCCCTATCAAAATAAAGAGTTGAAGTCCAATGATATTCCTGTGTTTATTTCACATGGAGGAGTGAAAATACGCGTGGAACCTATACACAATTAGGAATTCAACTCCTAATTTTGAAAGAGTTGGACTCTTGGGTATGAGGTGGTATTCTAATTCATGAAGAACTAATCTATTAGGAATTTATCTTTTTTTATCAATTATATCCTCACACAATTTTTAAAATTCCTAATTTTTCATGTACTTTAACCCGACTACGATGACATTTTAGTAATCAATTTGGTTTCAATTCCGATTCATGGAAATTTATAGTAAACAACTTATAAGGAATCAATACCACTCATGCCTCAATTCCATATCAGTGTTCTATTTGCAGCACCTTAACGCTATTTAATTTCACATCTCTCAAATTTTATGGCATGATATGATAAAACATTATCAAATTATATTGAATTTTTTTTTTTGAACTCAGGGTGAGACGTATTTATATATTATAGTGAAATTGGCTAAAATAGCCATTTTTCACAACTTCTATTCTAAAATAACCCCCTTGCATTAAAGAAGCACTGTTGGTGGATGTAAATTCAACGGTTCACTCACTCTTGCACTCTTTTGAAGAAACTTTTTTGAACCATTAAATTAATATCCAACGGTGGGTGACCACAATCTCTTGGACTTCTCTGGTCCGAGAGATCGGGACCGTAAAGAAGCATTATAGGGAAAAGAAAAAAAACCTTATAATAAGGCATGCAACTATTAGTATAAAGAACCTTCTAGTAATAAAACTGAAAAAAAGAGAGAAACTAGGATGATCCAACCCAAGCTAGTTTGATTGAACAGTCCATGAAAGGCCCTGAAGAAGAACGGATAATTTGGTAAGGCCACTTGAACCTTTCTATTGGGCCTGATCCTGAGGTTTTGAAAAACCTTTTTGGGTCAAAAGCTAGTTCCATTTACCTTTATATGGGCCTAATGTAATCAACCCGTAAATCAAGGCCACATTTATTTCATAAAGTGTTATTAGGCGTGGGTACGGTCCTGTTTTCCTATAGCACTGAAATTGAAATCGAAACTGGAAAATTTACATGGTTTAATTCGGTTTGGTTATCACAAAAAATACGAAGGAAACTGAACCAAACTAAACCTTAACAAGGCCGGTTTTGAGCCCATTGTATTATTTTTATTTTTTCTTATTTTACGCTTGGGAAAATTTGCCTGCACAACTTTTGGTTTTCCTATTTTTCAAATAGATTAACACGATTTTTAGGGTGTGGCAATCGGATTATGTTGTTCAAGACCTATGTCAAAGGTAAAATATATATGCACCAATAAAAGTATAAAGTCGCATATATGTGTGCGATTAATTTAATTAATTTTTAAGCCGAGGCCCTGAAACAAAGGTTGGTTTAACATTCAAATTCTGGCTTTTTCTTCACATGCATGTATGCCATGGAAGCATGAGTTGGAGATCCAAAGACGACTATACAAGGAATTCAGGAATTACTTACGTATTTCCTGATGTTGACGGTGATTAGGTTCCTGAAAATGGTTCTGAACAGTGTAAACTTTACGTTTAGTGCTTAATTACATTGATTAGTGGATTATACGTGCTAAATTATGAGCACTGTAAGCTGGTTCAAGTGATCCAATCAATCTAACTTAGACGAAATCAATACGTGTGATGTCTAAGAATGACAGCTAATTAAGTGTTTTTTGTTTTGTTTTGAAGGGTTTGTACTTTGTAGGCAGGTCCACCATTGAGATGCAGCAATAATTATTCCCCTTTTAGGTTTTAAGCAGACTTAATTATATCAGCAACCTGCAAATAGAACACTGATATTCTCTTTATTATGTGGTTTTGCTTTTCACTTATATATTTGATTCAACTATAATGAAAAGTTAGTTAGTGCGGTTTGGTTTGTTTCGTCATATTAATTTTCTATAAATCTATCGTCATGAACTTGGGATAAATACTGTCGACAATCCAAAAAAACTTGGGATACATAAAATAAAACAAAGCACACAAATAGCATAAGAAAGAAAGGAAAATCCTATCATCATGACAGTGTTTAATTACTTACAAGCTTTGTTCCAAAAGGGCAGTGTACGTACCAAAGCCCTAAATTTAAAAAAATAGAAGATCGGATCAACTAAAGATGCCCACTAGAGCAAGCAAATTGGGGAATCTTAACGAAAGTGGGAAGGTGTGGCCCCTAAATATGAAAAATATCTAGAATAATGCACATCTTCACCACATCATACAAAGTAATTGTGATGATGCGCAATGAGGCTTTTAAGAATAATTAGAACATCAACGGTGTCTAATCTAATGAAAAGGGCATTGATTTATAGATAAGAGGTTTCAGGTTCAAATTCCCATGACATCTAGTTGTGTGTGTGTGAGAACTCTCTCATCTCTTTAATTTAGACTATCGTTTACTAAAAAACAAAGAACAATTAAATGACTGCTAATTAGTTCCAAAAGGTTTTGAGGTGGCCTAACTACTAATCACAAGATGAGTTGACAACTAAAAACGCTTATAGCAGAAATTTTTGAAGTACTTATGGGTCATAAAATCTCTTATAAAAAAGTATAAGTGTTTCCTACATAAGCAGTCCCAAACGAAAGTGACTTATAATATATGGCGCATATCCTATTTAAGTCGCCCAATTAATCACGCATGGATAATGATTGTGTCGTAGAAATAAGAAAATTTTAAAGCAATGAAGAATAAGACTAAGCATACAAAACCAGGCTGTTTGTAAAATACTTTGTACTCAGAAGCTATGAGAGCCATGAGTATGGTCTTATATCCTTGTACTTTTAGCATGATCTGCCTATCGACCAGGGGTTGATACTCGGTATATGTTCAGTGAACAAGGACCACAAATCATGTTCTGTAAACAGTGGCTTCACGCTGAGAAATCGTACGGTAAGAAGCAGAACATCGGTTTGAAAGCAGCACCTTTCGCGAGTAGCCTTGGAGGGAGGGAGGAACATACAATACGAAGACGTGGTGGAAATATAAAATAGGCCTGGGATGTGATATATTCTTTTGACAATGTTATACATGTTTTTTTAATTTTTCTTTCAAGAGGAATATGCATGTAAGAAGGTGCAGCCAGGTATATTAAATTTTCTTTTTTGTTATCACCGTCCAATATGTTCTATCTTCAAGGAATTAGTGCACTGTGTAAGTTGTGAAATTAAAGCAGAAGAAGAAGTAGATGCAACGCTACATACAGTTTAAGCTTTTAGATCTTAAAATAAATCTTAATCCAGAGGCAAACAGGAAATAAATCTGAATTTATCTGTTCTGTCTGGTCCTTCTCTATGCATGTCTGGTTTTAAATATATATTTAACTACCCAATTTGGCAAGTTTATGGTCCTTTTCATCTGTAAACTTTTATTTGTATCCCATTTTTATTTGTTGGTCGTCTCACGATCTACATACGTATGCATTTCGAATTAAGCATATCCAAAATGTGACTTCATATAGATTAATTAAGATTAAAAGTACCTATGACTTTAATTAGACCAACAATAACGTCTAACTTTTCCTGCATAGATCGATGGGTTTGTGTTGTCGTTAGTTGCACATGTTTTCTCATTCATAGGCTGCTATATAGTGTAATTTATTAATATAACTTGATGTTCATGAGCATATATGATACACTAACAAATCTCATACATGTTTCTTTCTCATGATTTGTCGAGAACAATTCTCTAAACGCTAATATTTATAAATTAGAAATAAATTTTGAATCTATGACTACGAATAATCTTTTCAACAATCCATTTGATATTTAAAACAATTTGCATAGACGAATCAGATTTCATTGCAAATAACTATGACATCGAATAATTTTACAACCCTCTTTTCAATTGTGGCGGGTGTTTGCTTTTTCTATTTCTTTTCAAGAGAATCTTTGATTGTCGAGGTTATTCAATTTAATTTGAGATGCGTTGTATGCATAAGGAAAACTTAGTTATGAATTAAAAAGTGAATTAATTACACCTTGAAAAGTGACTAGACCAAATAAAATATAATTAACCGAGTCATTTTCACAAGGGTTGGTGAGGGGAGGTTTCACAATTAGGCATAATAATCAAGATTAGGACCTCTAGATTAATTTGCACCAAGTAAAATTGTATCCGCGTACGGTTCATACACTAGAGCTAGCTAGATGATCAACTACCGCGAACTGCCACATGCCAACCTATATAATTGTGCTCTTAGGCAAACGAATCATCATCAATGCATTTCATAAACCCATCCAGAATTCCTGGACCTGGCTGTCACCTTAACAAAAGTTACTCACAAAGTAGTACTAGTATTGTTTGCCGTTGTACATAGCCATCGATCCCATGGAAAAAACCTAAGAGCAGTAGGTAATCAAACACTAATATTAGTATTATAATTAGTCCATTCTTTTTAGGTTTTGATTAGTTTGTATATCTGCAGTGCAACAAATACACGTGCATAACTTTAGTCCACACATTCAAATTCCTGGTATTATTTAAAGATTATTTCTTAATCTTATTTAGGCTTTAATCCAACAGATCGATGAAAGACCAAGCGGGGACCATTCTCCATAATTTGATCAGTTTAGTCTTTTACTATTTTTTAAAAGCTTTTTGTTGGGTCGGGGGGTAGATAGCTTCCACAAAAAACCTTACACGGTGACATGGGGGAGAGAGAGAGAGAGAGAGAGAGAGAGAGAGAGAGGGAAAATAAAAATAAAAAATAAAAATAACCCAATCAATAGCAACCTAGAGAATTGCCTGTTGTGCTGACCAGGTATTTGTCGAAGCATGTCATCATCATATAGAGGAAGCTTTACCATCTGTATGGTGCATATGTACATAAACATGCACATATGGACATCTGATGTTCTATATAAAGCAGCAGCTTAATTAGTTAGCAACTGAGAGGAGGTAGCAACGTGTCTGTGTTTGAGAGGATCAAAATTTCATGTGGAGATGGATAATAACATAGGCAATAATTCATCAGAGGGAGAAGGGTTTAAGTACAATTTCACAGGCAGTAGTATCTCTAGCGATCATCATCATCATCAAGAAGATGGGGTCATCAAGGAGCAAGATCGGCTGCTTCCGATTGCTAATGTTGGGCGGATCATGAAGCAAATTCTTCCCCCAAATGCAAAAATCTCGAAAGAAGCCAAAGAAACCATGCAGGAATGTGTTTCTGAGTTTATAAGCTTTGTGACTGGAGAAGCATCTGACAAGTGTCACAAAGAGAAGCGCAAGACAGTGAATGGAGATGACATTTGCTGGGCTCTTGCAACTCTTGGCTTCGATGATTATGCTGAACCATTGAAGAGGTATTTGCATAGGTACAGAGAATTGGAAGGAGAGAAGGCGGCTCACCAAGGCAAGGCCAACAGTAGTGAAGAAAGAAACGAAGTGTCACCACCAAGGACAAGTACCTCTAGTCCCTTAAAGTTCAATGTGCTTGAAAGGGGAAATAGCTCGCTCTCCCGGCGATTTTGAGTGATGATCATATGAAGCGAGGTAATTAATATACTTTTCAAATTAGTGGTACTCTTCTTAAACTGTATGAGTTGAAGGTGACGATGATGATGTTATAAACATGACTATAGATAATTAAGTGGGAAGGTTTAATTTTAGGTTTTTTTTTTTCATTTTGTGTTTCTCATGTGTGCTCATAATGGGTTTCTTCTTTGGTTGACTGTTATTAGCTCGAGAATTATGCGAAATTGGAGTTAATCCTTTGACTTATTTGTCTGATGAGCTTATATATCTACTTCTTAGTTTTCTAAGCTGTAATTAGGAAGTAATCTATGACATACTCCTGTTCAATTTTGTCCTTGACTTGAATTCATGGAGGGTTAGTTGAATGGGATATACTTCACTCTTTATGTAATATCCGCTGGGTGGAAGCCATAAGATCACTAAACTACAAAGCAACTGAAACACTAGTGATGTTTGTATCTCTGATTAATTTCTGGATTTTGCTTAGTGCAAACTGCCGTTAGGGTTTTTGGACCTTTTATTTTGGAATCTACGATCACCAGAGATCAATTCACATAATCTCTTTTCAATTTGATCCTACTCACATCTTTCTGGTGTGAGTTAGATCTGATATGATTTATTTCAGAGACTGGATGTTTAGGGTTTTATATATCTTCAGTTTTGGAAAAAATTATTTCGATTTGTTTTCTGGCAGATAATATCTTATACATTAATTCTCTTGAAATTGGTTTACATTTGAAACAGTCTGGTTGCTCCAATTAAAACTATCTTCGAATAACCTATCCTCCCCGTTTGGCCTCCATTGAATATAGGAAAATAAATCTCTCCCAAAAGATTGTCCAGCCAACTTCCAAAAGTAAGTCAAAAACTCTCTCTGGGTTAAACGTTGCATTTGTCGGTGTATATAACATGCCATATGTATGGTTTTGGCCTTTTGAATATGAAATTCACTCATAAGACAGCAATTATACATACTCTTTTTCTCCTTTTTCTACCATGTTTTGTTCATATTTTTGATGTAATCAAAATCCGATATGAGAAATTAGATGCTTTTAACTCAGGTTTTGCGAAAAACAAATATTCATTTGCTTTTAAGTTCGTCTTATGGTATTCTTATATTAATGAGTTATTTACACTAACACCCCATTAGATTTTAGTTGTTTTCACAAAATCCCTTTCCATTTATTTTTTGTTCAAAGATTGATGATTTTATATGAAAAAAAATTCATTCAAATGACAAAGTTAGCATTTGAGATTAGATTGCACATACATTTGTTGAGGTTAATTTTGTTATTTGCAAAAGTTTTTATGTATGAAATCATCAAATTTTTGGTGAAGAATCAATGAAAATGGGTTTTTTTGTGAAAGCAAATTGAAACCTCAGGGAGTATTCGTGTAAGTTTTGAAATCTTAGAGAGTTTTGTGAAAACACCAAAAACTTAGGTGGGGTGTTAGTGTAAATCCCTTTATATTAATACTGGACTTGGAAATCATACCCTATGAAATTCTCTAGCTTTTATAGTGAAGTTTGGTTTTACATGTCTTGAGCACTCTAACCGTTTGAATTAACTCTCTCTCTCTCTCTCTCTCTCTCTCTCTCTCTCTCTCTCTCTCTCAAAATTCCTGTCATCTAAATTACCATCTATATATACACACACACATGCGCATGCTAGATGCCGTGTGAGTGGAAGGTAGCTATCTAATTTGCATTGATTCTTGGTTAATTTAAAAAAGGAAACCCACATTATCCGTCACTCATGAAGTCATGTGGCTAATTATGTTATTCAACGGCTAGCTCTAGGGTTTCCTTTGATAACCACAGCTATACTTTTGTCTGTTTTTTAACCGGGACCACAGCTTTGGTGGCCATGGCTCAACCTTCCATGGTTAATTTGTCGTTAACAACACATCTAGTTTCGATCATGCCGACGATTTTTATAATGAAATGAGTTTTTGGATCATCTTCCCACAAGTGAGGATGACTAAGCTCTAATGTCAAGTTGTTTACAAGTTTTTTGTGAGGATTCCTGGCAAATGGAGACAAACAAGTGCAAGACTGACTTATTAGGCTTTCTAGGGTTCCTCATGCCAATTAAAAAAAAAAAGAAAAAAAAAAAAAGAGGACCGACGTATATGATACGAGATTTGAAACAGGCGAATTAAAATTTCTAGCTAGCTCATGGGAGGAAGTCACTTTGTTCGTTTCGTGCGCTTTCCGTACTTTAAATGTTTACATACTCTCTTGGCTTTGGACTTGATGTCAAACTCTCACTTCATGGAATTAATCTCCGAAACCCATAAATCTGACAGAGGCGCAGGCATGGAGTTTATGAGTTCTCCATGTGACACCTAGCAAAGTCCCCAACTCTACACGTGCTAGCTATTCTGCATCTCTTTCCCAAGTGTATCAACTTTTACAGGCCACCACATTTTATATGTTATTTATTCAAAAAGACAGCACTAGATTGCTGTATGAATTTTTGACGGCTGGACCAAGAAACTAATTGGCATTTTTGCAGCATATATCTGATTAGAAGCCGTGCAGGAGGTTACACTGATATCAGATATATAAATACAGAGGGGTTTTGGGATTCAATATTATTGTAAGATATATAATGCGGTATATAATCTGTTATTTAGTTTGGATGTGCACCGTCCAACACGAGTTCGGATGCGCATTAAGTTTTTTAATTAGTCTTCTTTTTTTCTGTAGTTCATAAGTCATGCCCACTTTCAGCATGCGCTTGTGAGGAATATCAAACACTTTCTCACCCTGCCTCAAATTCCTCTTCAATAAACTGTAAGCATAATCGATCAAAATTCTTTTGATTATACCAGCTCCGCAATTAAGTGAACAACCCCCCAACTCCATGCCTTGTCGATTGCTTCAATCTCTCTGTCCAACAGATCTTGTTGCCTCTGTTGATCGTCAAATTGCCTCACATCCTGGTTGCCATTCTCATCCTTAACCAACCTGTCATCGGATTCCCCCTCTTTGACGTCAAACTTCTCTCCACTAGTGCTGTGCATTGTTGTTCGAGATATCAAAAACTTATCCTTTATGAACGCTTTCAGTTTTTCCACCAACAAACCCTTCAAAAGGCTCATTTTGAACATCCGTGTACCCTTATCTTGCAACACACCGAAACACATTGAGCTCCTTATTAGACTCTATTCGCTGGAAAAGATAGTATAGCCGATCGGCTATACTATTTATTTATAAACAAAAGATAATTATAAAAATTGTACAGCCGCGCGGCTATACTTGTTGAATATGATAATATATGTACGTAATATAGCCGCTCGGCTATACTATTTATTTAAACAAAAAGATAATTTATTTTAAAATTACAGCCGCGCGGCTATATGGTTTATTTTTAAAAAATATGTCAATAGTATAGCCGCCCGGCTATACGTTTTTAAAATTTTAAATAAATAATTTATTAAATCAAACCTATAACATGTAGGGTAAAATGATATGCATATCAGACCAGAAAATGAATAACAAGAATAAGAAATGAAAATGGAGACCATGGAGGAGCAGTGAAGCTGCGTGACGTGACTCGAGGTCCAAGGAGTCATATCTTCGCAACTTTTGCCATGAAAGTTTCTTTGCTTTGAGTTCCTGACTCTGATCAGAAACTTGTTGATGATCATGATCTTGGCGTCCCTGATGATCAATGGCGCTTTCCAATATTACGTCTTCTTGAGCCATTTCTGTGTTTGTGTTTGTAGAAATCTGGGATATTTAAGGGCCAATTAAGCAAGAGTTTGCCCACAACTCATACTCTTTTATACAAATAAATATTACATGATTCGGTCATTTCAAATATATTACATTTAGTTAGTCAAATGCTGTAACAAAATTTGATTCTGGAGTTACTCAATATAATCTCCCATTCTTGGGGAAAAAATACATACATATATATATATATATATATAAAATGACTTTTGGCTAGAATTAAATGATGGGAAATCACCTTAATTAAGTGTCTAATCATTCATTCTATACGACATGGATACGTATGTCAGTATTGGATTATTTATCTATTTTCTGAAGCTGTAGCCTGTACTCAAACTCGATCATGTATCCACTTTCTCCTTTTTTCTAAAGTTCATAAGTCATGCCCACTTTCAACATGCGTTTGTGAGGAATATCAAACACTTTATCACTCTGTCTCAAATTCCTCTTCAAGAAGTTGTAAGCATAATCAATTAAAATTCTTTTAACCATACCAGCTCCTTTTGCAGCCGTCACTTCATTTTCCCCAATTAGGTGAACAACCCCCCACCTCCATGCTTTGTCTATGGCTTCAATCTCTTCGTCCAGTAAATCTTGTTGCTTATCTTGATCATCAACTTCCTTCGCATCCTCCTTGCCATTCTCACCGTTAGCCACCCCGCCATTGAATTCCTCCTCCTTGATGTCAAACTTCTCCCCATTATTATCGTCCATATTTCTTTGAGATATCCAAAAACTATCCTTTATGAACTCTTTCAATTTCTCCACCAACAACCCTTCAAAGGGTTCATGCTCATTTCGAACATCTGTGTACCCATATCTTGCAACACATCGAAACACATTGAGCTCCTTAGGCTCTACTCTCCGAAAAAGAAATCGCTCTTCCAATGGAACCTTGCTTATAGGCAATGATTTAATGGAGACGAAAACAAGGACCGAGTGCAATGCAGGCACATTTGTTGCATAATGATTGAAGATCGGAGGGATGCCTTGAACAAGCTCCGAATAGAACATGGCGAGGCCAGGCATTCGACAAAAGTTTGCGCTAACAGCAATTTCCTTGAGTTGTTCTGGAGAGATTTTGTGACCAAGCTCGTAATAGTACTTTCTCCGATGCACATCATTCCACACAAACATTATAATCATCAAGACCATGGCAAAGGCGAGGGGAAGATATCCACCTTGGTTGAATTTGTAGAGCACCGAACTTAGATACATTAACTCCACACTTCCAATGACAAGAACATATGAGATGACCAAAAGTATGTTGGTTTTCCATATCATTATCATGATTAGCACTAGAAACGACGACGTAAGCGTCATTACAAACACCACAGCTATACCTGTGTATAAATAAATAAAAAGACATTCATTAATTAGTAAATCAAGTTCAAATTATTGCAATTTAATTTACTTACCGTATGCATTGCCAATCTTTGCAGTGGTTCGGAAACCCAAAGTGACACCAACGCAAGCCAACATCAGAAGGTAGTTGACCTCCGGAATGTAAACTTGTCCTGCGTACCTGGCCGATGTGTGCACGATTTTGACACGAGGGAAACACCCTAATGACAGTGACTGTTGGATTATAGAGAACGTCCCTGAAATCATGGCTTGACTGGCTATGATTGATGCCAATACTGCCGCCACAAACATCGGCCAATACAATGGCCCTGGTATAGACTTGAAGAAGGTATCATAAACAAGATGATGGTGGTTGCGAAGAAAAGAGGCTTGTCCAGTGTATGCCAATATGAGAGCTGGATAAGTAACTGCGCACATACTTATTTGAATGGATCGGACTGTGAAGTGGCCCACGTCAGCAAACAATGCTTCAGTTCCTGCATTTTGTAAAATTAATAAGTCAAACTTAATAGTTATTTCATGCGTCATGTGTAAGGATCAATATTTGGCCCGAAGTCTATGGGCCCAAGTGGGACGATCCAAGTTTGATGGACCAAAGCCCCACTTGACCCATTTTTAAACTTGTGTAGCACTTGAGCCAAGAATTTAAAATCTTAAGTGCCCTAAGCCTGACCCGAGCCCACAAAATTTGAGCCGAGCCACAAACCCGAGTCATGTGTTGTTTGACAAGAAGATGTAAATTAGATTGGAACCTGTTATGGCAAGGACAATGCCGCCAAGAGAAATCCAAGCGTCTTTTTTGTTCCTCCTGAAGTAATCTACTATGTATTGTGGATTTAGGGCTTTGACCACCGTAGGATCAAACTTGATGAAGTTGTAGACACCAATGCCACCAATCAGTGTAAACCAAACACAAATGATTGGTGCAAAAGTGTAGCCCACTTTATCAGTTCCAAATCTTTGAACCATGAAGAGGCAAATCAGGATGGCTATTGATATCCAAACAATCCGATCTGTGTACACATAGCAAAAGTATCATAAACAACAATTTGTAAACAATTACATAGATTAAATAATTGACCAAACTATGCAATATTATTATATTCAAATGATTAATTAATAAATTCATTCACACAAGATATGTATCAATACATATGTATGCATTAGGATGGCCCAGGCCGACCATAAATTTTCAATCTCAGACCGAATTAGGGCAGGGTCAATTAGGCTTAGTAACTTTTTTGGGCCAAATTGGGGCCGGGTTAAAAAAGTTAGAATTATATGTACTGCAATTCAACAATCTAATAATAACTCTACTTTTTTTTTTCAATTCAACAATCTAATAATAACTCTCTATTGTTTTGTTTTTGTTTTTGTTTTTTTAGCAGATGATGACCTAAACTTATTTGGGGTCAAAAGAACGTGAGGCCATGTGGGGTACCTTCCGTCATTGCAGATGTAGCTTCTTTGATCCCTCCAACAGCCGACAAAACTGCCATCAAATTGGAACAGAAAAAATTAGTGATGGTCAAGTCAAAATAAAATGAAACTTTGATTTTGTCTTATTGCACAATGTTCAACTCAAATGACCATGGAAGTGAAGTGATTAAAAGAAAGGAATTAGAAACCTGAGATGCAGGGAGTGAGAACACCGTCGCCAATGACCATGGAAGTACCAAGCATGGTGGCGAATAATAAGAACACCTTGGCAAAGGGGCTGTTCTCTAATTTAGATTTAAGCCTTGACGCTCTCTTTAGGCGTTTGCTCGGCAACTCCAGCTCAAAATTTGAGACATCCCGATCCTCTGCTTGTTGACTCGGAGTCAAACCAACCTTGGCATATCGACATAGCAAAGAGTATAGTGCGAACGTACCTCCTGCCATATAGAAAGAAAAGGCAAAAAGTGAATAGATCATCTGTCATATATCATGTGTATTGAAATTAAATAATTAATTATATTCGAATGACTATAGTCTATAGATGAGTTCGTCCCTGGTTTGTGCCTCATCGTTGTGTTACTTTAATTCCTAGTTACAGGGTCACAAGATGACCCCACGATACATCAAAGTTAGGACTTTTGGTCAGATTAAAAAACAAAGAAAAAATGACTAGGGCTTATTTGGAAGTAATTCTGGATATGTTAAAAATGACTTCTATGAAGAATCACTTCTCCATATAATCACTTTAATTGATTTTAAGTAATTTGATGGAGAAACACATAACAACTGCTTCTCCCCATAATCACTTAAAATCACTTAAAGTGATTATATGGAGAAGTATGCGGGAGGTGTTTCTAGCCTATCCAGAATTACTTTCAAAGGAGCGAGTCGTGACTCGTGCATTTGGGTGGTACCTATTTAAATAACTAAAAACTTGTATAGAAAGTAGTCGTGACTCGTGCAATATATTTAAATAAACAAATTCAGAACAGCAAGCACAAGAATAATATACAGCTAATTTAAGTGAAATATTATGAATTTATTAAAGGATGTAGCTAGGATGAGATCTTACCGTCGCCATTATCGTTGGCCCGTAAGACGACGAAAACGTACTTAATCAAAGGGATTAAGGTTAGGGTGTAAAGGATCAAAGAAAGAACACCCAAAATGTCGTCATCATGGTTGATGCCTTTGGTAAAGGTGCTTGAATACACATAGAGAGGTGATGTACCGATGTCCCCATAAACTATTCCAATGCTCTGAAATGCTAGGTGCAGTATCACCGACCACTCCCCACCCTAGAACAAAAACAACCCAAAGGAAAACAAATTATAAGTCATATATACAAACAGACCAGAAAATGAATAACAAGAATAAGAAATGAAAATGGAGACCTTGGAGGCATGGCCATGGTGAGCAGTGAAACTGCGTGACTCGAGGTCCAAGGAGTCGTATCTTCGCAGCTTTTGCCATGAAAGTTTCTTGGATTTGAGCTCCTGATTCTGATGATGATCAGGAACTTCATGATGATCTGTGGCGTTTTCCAGTATCACCTCTTCATCAGGCATTTCTGTGATTCCTAGATGAGCTAGCTAGTTGAAATCTGAGGAGAGAGAGTTGAAATCTGGGGGTGCGTAAGTATGGGGAGCTGTACTACTTCTTCCTATATGTGAGGATATGGAGGGTCATATTTAAAGGCAAGTTAAGCCCACAACTGATCATACTTGTATACTTATACGGGTATGTACTCGTATACTTATACGCGTATGTACACGTACGTCACAAGTTAGAACAAAAAGAAGCATGGAAACCAATCCCATGGAGCTATCAAAACAATAGCTTAGCTAGGACAAGAGCTTGACCTTGTTTTGTGAGATTAATGTGAAGCTTACCTAATTAACGGGACGTCCGAGGCCAAGATGTTGATGGAGATCTTTTTTTATTGCCACATCTGTTTAATAATCAATTATGCCCTTCAGTTTTTTTTTTTTAATTATAATACTTACAATTATATATTCAGAAGTTGTAATTTTACAAGTTAAATGTTCCTAGTCCACTTATGAAATTTCCACTCTATATATTATCAAATTTGGTCTCCTTTTGTTTTGGCCTTGGAGTTTTAGTGCCATATTGCCCAACAAAATATTTATCTAAATTTGAATATACACGTAGTTTAATACCTAATAATTTAACTTCGTCATCATATTTTATATTGGCTGTTTATAACTGGAGAAATTTTTATGTGTTCTAGGTACACTACATTATTGGTCCGATTGATGACATAAGAAAGTTATAAACAAAATTTTATATCTTGGAGTTTACTCATGTACGTGTATTTCAATTAACTTCCTTTTTTTTCTTTTTTTTGGTGGAAAAATAAGAAGAAAAAAGATAGGAGTTTTGGTTAGAATTATTTATAAATAATCGGAAAGAAAATACAAAACCAGAAAAAGAAAAAGAATAAAAATTCAATTGGAATGGCAATGTAGAAGAAATTTCTCATATGAATACTGGGATTGTGACACAATCTAAGGTACCTAGTCAGATTGGAGGCCGTGACTTTTGATCAAAAGTCAAACTTTGTGACAATCTATACAGGCTTCTTGTACAAATGTAATTAAAACTTAGCATTAGCATGAAAACCAGAATTGGAAAAGTAATTAAACATGACAACCAAAGTTTAGGTTTTGCAGCTAATCAGAAGACGACAGTTGTTGCTTAGTTATAATCGGAGAGCTTAGAGCAAAAGTCATAGTAGTTTTCTAGTAGAAGACGCCACGTGCAATTTGGTCTTCGCCACGTGTGACATGTGTATCTTGTTTAGCCTTCATGCTTTTGGCAGTATCAGAGGAAGGTGACAACTGTTTGACTACATGGCATGCATGGAAATGCAGTATGGCACAACCAAAGCTCATAAGTCATAAACCTTCGGCATTGTCAAATAACACTGCATGAATCATGATGAGGAGAGAAAGGGTGCACCGTTCAATGAATTATGAATCTTCCAAAATATATATATATATATATATATATATATATATATAGCTGGGGTTAACTGTCATAACAGGTAATTTGGTATCTGAGCAGTGTTTAAGACACTTTTAAAGTCCAAAATTAATACATCAACAGTTAGAATCTCATCACACATGTAAACGACTGTAAAAAGGTATAATTTGAATTTCTTTTACGGCCGCCTTTGTATTGTAATTTACATGAGAGCACTTATGCGGTTAACTTTTTGTATTTTTTTAACTGTTGTGTTGGAGTTTTGTTGATTGGACCACCCAAAATTAATTAACCTTGGTTTATTGTATATTTTAACCTAAATTAGGTATCTGTCATGAGCTGATCATAGAGTATATGTCCTTGCGGCCTCGGTGCTTATCCCATATTCAGATGTGCACCAAACCTAAGGCCAAGGCCATCCCCCTCCCCTCCCTCGGCAATGTTGTGACTTGTGTGGCAGAAAGCCTAATAGAATTGTTTGCTTATAAAATGTTTTAGCTGCTGAATCCCAGACACCATGTGCAGCCTGCCGTCTGCTGTCTGCTGTGTCATTGCAATTATAAGTAATTGTGAATTAACTATGAAAATAATGCAGGATCAACAACAGCCAACAGCAACTACCAATATATATATATACCATATCACTTCTGATCAGTCTGTCCAATTGATTCTGCTAACTAATATATTTTCCATCTGTCCTATTAATAAATTGATTAAATAATATGTTAAGTTAATTACTTTCTAGTTTCTTCTACCAGGTTCTTTGTTGCCCGTTTCCATGCGTCAGATTTGATAACAATGATTGCGCTTATACTAATTAACAAGGCATTCATGCTCTGATTGCATTTTAAAAGATTCGGATCATGTTGATGCATATAGCTTCTACTAATAAAGCAAACAAGTCGCGTAAAAACAGTGTTGTTGACCTCTTGGCTCTACCAAATTGTTGTTGTTGTTGTGCATGCATTGTGTTTCAAAAGCACTTACGCATGTCCATCCGAGAATATTCCAAACTCAGAGACAAAAATTTACGCGTGTTGTGGCTGCTTTGCTTTGCTAATTAGACCCTTTAGTCAAAATGTATATGCTACAAAAGTACTGTGGACGAATAGACTTTCGAGAAAAATAATATATCCTTTGGTTTATGCAATTAGACTTTCGCATAGAAAGGCGAGTGACTCACGCGTGGGTGATTGCCCTTAGCATTTCTCCCACTCGACCATGGACATCACCCATAGTATTTCTCATATTCACAAGCGTTTCTTTAGAATGTACTAGCAGTGTTAAGTTGTTGGCTCAACCAAATGGTTGTTGTCAACTTTGTGGTTCAAGGGCACATATGCATGTCCAAGCGAGAATATTCCAACTCAAAGACAAAAACTTCTACGTGTTTTCTGTTGGACATCGAAAACTAGTCACTCGGATGCCACAAAATATTGTGGATCGTCTTGACACCTTTGATAATTAGGTATATGATTTGGGAAAATAATGTATATATTTTGGATTATGCGATTAGAGTTTTCTCATATAAACGGCTACAAGATATTGTCAAACATGCAGCTGAGACAACAGAGTTATCCAGTTCACCATCCTATATATCTGTAGCTACAGTTTATATCCCCCATGTTTTAATATCAATTTCTGGGGCTTTATGTCTTAGATCATCCTTCATCCTTACAAATTAATGTATCTGTTAACGAGTAAAGAGAATTAGCGATCAATGCAGGCAATAAATTTAGACCTTCATTAGCAGCAGCACATAAGCGTGAGTACATGACCCAGATTTACTCCAGATTTAACAAAATATGCACCGAAGAAATGGGAAAATTAGGTGCATAGTTTAGAGGAATAATTTATACTTACAAAATTGGTCATTCACGAATTTCACTTTGCCTGTTTTACAGGGCCGGCTGATGCAAATGAATGACGCATGCAACACCCCAATCTCTACAAAAGGCAATCGTGGTTGTCCTAAGCTAGTCCCTTTCTCAGGACCTTGTCAAAAATTGGATTTTCAACCAAATCTTTAGCTGATGGCCTCCAAACTGGATTTGGGTCCAACATGACCTGAGAGATTTGAGAAAATATAATGCAATCAGAAACGCCATCACAGGGTACTTTTATAGCCCAAACCAACTAAGAATGATATGATCATAATAGTATCAGAAGCAACTTGACTATATCCAGTAATAGCTTAATATCATGGCAACTGAAACAATGGATGTGGAGAGCCGCAGACAACAGCATTGTTAGTATGATTTCATATGAAAATGTCCTGGCCTTTTCATCTGAAGAGCCTTTTACTAATTGTAGCAAGCAGACATTTCAGGGATCATTTTCTTTCTACCCCATTCCCGCTTGCAATTATCGGCAAACCAAATTATAATTTACAATTGAAATGATATTGTACATACAAAGTAATAGGGTAGTTTTCATTATCAAACAAAATTTGATTTCACATTGCAAGATTTTGGAGCAAAGATTTAAAAAAAGGAGGAAGTAAATTATTATTTCATGCCAACCACTAACGGAAACAGAAGAAAAGCCAACCACTAACGGAAACAAAAAAAAATTATAGTACCTTGAGTAAGTTCTGAAATTGCAGCGAATGGCCAGGAAGGAGTGGCAATTTTCCCTCCCTAAGATTTAAAATTTGAGGTCCTGATTCGGGCAAAGGTGAACCTCTAATTAGCTCATAAATAGCAATTCCCAAGGAGAAAATATCAGCCTTGTCAAGATCATCATATTTCTCATTCAGGATTTCTTGAGGCATATATCGAGCATCACCCTCTTCAATTGGTAGGCTTTTATCAAGTAGAGTTGCACATCCAAAGTCACCAAGCTTATAAACACCATTCTTGACATATATATTATCAGGTTTTACATCTAAGTGAGCTATTCCTTTCCTGTGTATAAACTGCAACGCCTTTGCAATCTGTGTATGTGATTTTATGAGAAGTAAGTATATGTCAACAGAAGCAGAAACCTTGTCATGCTAAAAAGAGCACAAATTAATTTGAAAATTTTGGCCTGCCAAATAGGATCTTGACCTCAGATTTATATCAATTCCTAGTTTGTGTGCATGCATGCATGCGTGTCTGTGATTTGAGGATGGACATTCATTAGATTAAAGCCATTCCATCTTGTTTAACATAGCAACATGACATTCCTTCATGAGGAAAACAGAACATCTAAAATTATTAAGGGATTGAAACCAACACCACTACTGCACATCTAAAACAATCAAACATGTGTCAAGGAAAGGACATATATTTCAAATGGTGAAGAAAACAGAACACAAACACAAACACATAAATATTATTAATTTTGCGTAATTAAGAATCATGAGGAATCTAAATTCCCCTGACATAATTGGGTGCACTCTAATGCACTAGACAGGAGTATAAGCATATAATATAACAGCTGATTACCGACCTAGCAACCCTGTCTATCATTATTTCTTTTATGTGTAAATGTTCAGAGGCTTCTATAGTGTAGTGAAAACAGCTAACTGCTATGCAATCAATCTAGTAATAGCTTTGATGCTAGAACCTTGTTCAGTTCAACTTTCAAGTGAGACTCTTCTTTGACATGGTTAATGATCAGATTCAAGTGAGATCTTATTAAAAATCATACAAACCTGAAACAAGGCTTCTAAAATCTCTCCCTCTGTGAAGGTTTGGGAAAACTTGTTGATGGATAAGCTGTGATCGCATAATTCCATTTGAATGTAGAGCTGCTCATTTTCAAACCAAGATGAGTAGTATCCAACAATATTTTCATGGGAACCTAGAGAAGGAAAACCAGTTAAAACAAATAAAAGGAATTGCTATGAGGTCAAAAAGATGAAGCAGAAACACAAACTGAAAACATATATATGTATATATCATGCAAATGTACCTAAAGCTGCCAAAGATTGAACTTCCATCAAAGCCTTTCTCCTGCAAAGGATACAAAGGAATGAATTACGCATAAGAAGATAGCTTGACCAAATGGCAGATATACCTAAAGCATGAGTACGCAACCTTTCTGTGTTCTGATGCAACTGCTTCATGCTACGTTTCACAGCATACAAACAACCATCAATTCTGTTCAAGGCTTTAAAAACATGACTGAAGTACCCACTACCAATTTGCTGGAAAGTGACAGAAAATTACAAACAAGTTAGTCAAGCACAACAATATTAAAAATTTAGAAATAAAAAGCAATGGTTGTGCTTAAGTTCAAATGTTCATAGGATTTGGTAGATACCTCAATCTCATGAAAATCAGCGCAATAGCGTGAAAGACCATTTCCTCCCATAATTGCAGGGAAGAAAGCTGTACATTGCACCATTATGTAAGCAGAAGTTGAAAATTGAAAATGAAATAAAGGATTTCTGTTAATGTCTTAATACTGAAATAGAATTATATTGGCAGCTGACAGAAGTGTACCGGCACATTTCGATCTTTGGTTGCCAAGAGGATCAATGTCCATTTCTGAAGCATCCTTTAAATATGGATTCTTAAAACATGGAGGAGGCATGACACGACAGCGTAAAGCCACTGCAGATTGAGATACATAATTTTGTGTCTTTCGAACTTCGGTTACTGTTGCTTTCTCTATCTTAGCTTCATCTATGCCAAAAGAATCCGTTCCCAGTTCCACTATCTGCTGATTGCCGGAAAATGTAGGACTCAGAGGATTCATTAAGACATCACCTGCAGAAAGTATGGATTTTTAATTGCAATGCTAATACCCAATCGATTTTCATCAAAGTTTACCCAATAAACAGTGCATAACTTTCTACATTGGAAAAATACAGATAAAAAAGCAAAATCATAGTTGTAGTCTTAGTCTGACCCTGTCTGCGTCTCTTGGATTTAACCGTATTTGACTTCTCTGGTGATTTTGGGCAAGGGATATTTTCCTATACAAGGTAGAAACAAAGCTATTAAAACAATACTTTTAAAACGCAGCTCAAATTTACAGAAAGTATAAAATTCAATCCATGGTACCTTATTGCAATCCCAACCGTTCAACGTATGTTGATTATCCGGGGTGATATAATCAGGGGTGCTGCATTAATCGGAACAAAAAAAACAATCGAATTTTTCATCAATCATCTGAATCCGAGTATTAAAAAGCTTGAAAATTTATAAATCAAATCAAGGATGCGGGGAAATTTACCAGAAAAAGTCTTGGCTGAGAATGAAATCTCTGTCATCGAAATTGGGGTCAAGGTCAATACCGAGAGGAGACGACGAGGGAAGGATGGCGTCGGCAGCTCCGGAGTCTAAAAGGTTCTGGAAGCGAGAGGAGTTGGAAGAAGATAATTTTGATGACGTGGGGAACGACAATTGGTGGCTTTCACCCAGCTGAAGCCTTGCTAGTGCTCCCTTCATTTCCCTCCTACTCTTCTTCTTCTTCTTGCTCGTATTTAGGGTTTCGGCCAAATCGACTGTCTCTGTGTCTCTCCGTCCACTAGACTCTTGACCCCTTTGGCCTTGTCTGATATATTTAAAAATAGAAACTTGAAGGGGTTTATTGGGCATAAATCACATCAGAAGCAGAAGAGTGAATTTCAAATCGCGCGGGATTGTCGAGGGCAAAATGGATTGGGTGGAGCAGGAACTAGCTTACGGTTCTCTAACATTTGATCTTGTCCGTAGATCGGGAGACCCACTCTGGGCATCGGGTAATTTCATGGAAGATTTGTGTACGACGTTAGATGGGATTTATTATGTGATGGGTCGCGCACCATGTAAGCCATTCTCGTTATGGAGGGAAATAAGCTTTTTCAAAATTAGTGCGCGCTGCATGAGGGGCAACCTAATATTATTATATTATTTGATGGGCTAGTGGGCCCAAGAAAGTGTAAAGCACTTTTCCTTTTGGCAAAACTAGATTGGGTAATGACTTTCCACCCAAAAAAAAAAGAAAAGGGATTGGTTTATGACTTAATAGTAAGGGGTAATACTCTAAAATTACTCTTAATGATAAGTGAAAATTTTAAAAAAATATATTATAAAAAAAGACCCCATACTCTTTAAATAAACGTATAGCCGCACGGCTATACATTATATATTTAAATCATATAGCCGCTCGGCTATACTGTTTATTTAAAAAATGATAATTTATTTAAACATTATGGCCGCGCGGTCATACCCGTTTTATTTAAATAGTATAGCCGCACGGCTATAATATAATAATGTATTTAAATAGAATAGCAGCGCCGCAATGCCCGACAAGTGTTTATGATGTGATTCTTAGTAAATTAGGTACCTCCAAGATATCAAAAAACTTTGGCTGCAATGTATTTGTGATGTGAAGCAGCACCTTTCTGCTGCAGCTTAGTTGGGTGTAAACAGAGCAGAGCCCTTTGGTATGCTCTTTTCACTGAGTTTCCTTCAATTATATCAACAATCAATAGGTACAGTCTTCCACCCGCTCTCAGGCCAAAGAACCTGCCATGCATTAGTTGCTCAGGAATTAGTGCCATCTACCTTGTCTTAAGAGAAATATTTAGTCAGTTCAATTCTTAGAGTGGCAACCAAGTTTTTATGCCTTGAAGCATACTACTATTATGCAGTATTAGAGGCTGTTCAAAGAAAACAGAAAAATGACAATACGAGAGTTTGACAAATCAATGCTCTCACATATTGCATAGTAGTCAATAACGAGCGTATGTTTCCTTCCTTTCATCTTGACCACTGTCATATCTTTGCATCAATCGCCTGCATTTTATGAACTCGTACATTACTGCTAGCAGGATAAAAGACAGAATTGTAACAGCATGCTGTGTATGTTTGCTTTGTATTTTACCTGGATTTCTTCATGATTTTCGCAAGCTTGTGGCTGTTTCTTCTCATCTTGAGTTAATTCTTTGACCTGCCAACAATGTAATAGCTCATCAGAAAATCTGGTAGGAACTATGACTTTCACAAAAAGTATAACATTGCTCAAATTCAAAATTTAGTTCCTTAATATTATTGTTAGGCATGGCCTGCAGAAAAATAATTGGCATGGGAATTCCGAGTTTGTTTACTTCAATAAAAAATACAGAATGGACTGAACGAAACTTCGTTCACGGCAAATGAGTGCACGTTATAAGAATACAAGAAAAGATGAAAACAGTTGTTTTACGGAAGAACCACGTACCAGGAAGCACTCATCTGCATCTCCAGTAATAGCCTTGGGGTCGTGAGGAACTGATCCTGTCAACACTTAATGAATAAGATGTATTTTGTTTTGTTTGCATAGGCTAGCAATCTGTTCAGGCTTAGCTCAGAAATTTCCCCATAATGACTAACGATTTCTAGTGTTGTTGTCTACCACTTCTTCCTCTACTTAAGTGTTTAGCTAAGCCACATTACTTATATAGGATTAAGAGAACTAACCAGTACTTGATGCTGAGACGTCCTGCCCAGGAGCATTACTAAGTACATAGCTAGCAGTCTTTGCGTCACAATATTCTCTCTCACTGTTTGAGATGTTCATTCATCTGGAAAGAAAGAGTAGAAAACAGAACGAGAAACTCAGCAAAATGTTGAAGAAAACATATTGTTAGTTCTTGGGTATGTGAACTCAAACCATTCTAACTTGACTACCATGATGGAAGCATTTGGAAATGGGCTTTTCACATTGGACTTTTGCAAGTCCCCCGACATTCTTGCCGCGCTAATACTCGCTTCATACTCTTTACATAACAAGTATAGCCGCGCGGCTATAATATTTATTTTTTTAAAAATTGTTCCAAGCATATCGCCGGGCGGCTATACTCGTTATGTAGTATAGCCGAGCGGCTATACTATCTATTAAAAAAGATAAATTATTTAAAGATTATAACCGTGCGGCGATACTATCTAAACATAATAATATATGTAAATTATATAGCCGCACGGCTATACTCGTCAAATATATAGCCGTACGGCTATACTATTTATTTAAACGGTATAGCCGAGCGGCTAACGCATTAATTATAATAATATATTTAGAAAGTATAGCGGCGCGGCTATACTATTTATTTTTTTAAAAAAAAGATAATTTATTTAAAGCGTATAGCCGTTCGGCTATAATCGTTAAATATAATAATATATATAAATAGTATAGCCGCGCGGCTATACGATTCATTGAATAATTAAATAAAACCCGCCTAGCGCCTAAGCGGCCGTCTAGCGATTGGGCGATTTCTGATTTGGCGAAGTGGCAGTTGGAGCTCGATCTTTCCCCTAGTGTAATTCTAAAGGCCTCTTCCCATCTACAAATCTACCTTCTTCTACAAATTTGAATTTGTTGATTGGCCTAAAGATGTATAAGCAAACAAAGCATATGCGTTGTTTTGAGACAATTCCAGATTCTGATCAGAGCATTTCCGGTAACTCCCTCATTTCAATTATCGTATTATGCACATATTGTACTTATTGGATAAGCGTTTTTGGTTCTTCACCTGCGTAGATGAGGAAGAATCTGACCAAGATTGGCCCAACAAACGCCTTACCCTTGACGGGTCCGCCAAGAAAAAGGTTTTCATTTCCATTTTTAATCCTTAATTTTGCTTCAATGTTCTTGATTTATGTGTATGTGCATGTATCAATGCATCAATGTGTGTGTATCGTTTTATGTAGTTAGAAATTTGATTTCTTAACAGGAGGAATTACCACTTTCATCACGGCTAGAAATGCTCAAAGGTAACATGTTTTTCCAGAACTGGCTGCTAGCGTTGTACTGCCGTAGGCTCTTTGAGCAGAGATAATGTTTGTTTAATTGTTTCTGAAGCTGGTGCGCATGTAGATGCCTGCAACTTGGAGGATGACGTGAGCTCTGGCGATGAGGTATGCATTCAGATATAGACATATCTTATTTATGTATTGTGTGTTAGTGTGGTAGTGTAAGGCGGTAATATGCTTGCAACCTGTTTGTGGAAAAGCGGAACAATGTGCTCTCGAAAATTTATGTTACTGTTGGTGGTAAAAAGTTGCAGAAAGTTGATGTTCATAGCATTGGAAAAGAAGACGGATCATACACATGGTCTGCGGCAAGTAAAGAAGTTGAGGAACTTATGCGTTCGAATGAGAAAAATTCATGTTCATCGTCACATTCTTCTTACTTGAAATTGAATAAGTCATCTAAAGGTACGGTCTCGTGTTTGAGAGGTAATTCTTGATTTTTGGGTTTATTGTCACAATCTGTAGTGTTTTTTTTTTAAACTGCAAAATTCAACTGCTGTAGGAGTCAAAGGCAAAGGCAAGCCAAAGTTTTCGTTCCGTTTCCCATCACACAAGGAAGGACACTCTTGGCTTTCTGTATATAAGGATGACAATGATGTTTCATTCAAGGTTCAAGAATTGCCTGAGAGGTTGGATTATAGACCCGAAGAAAATTCAGATGCTGAGCTTCTTGAGGATATTCAGGTTGAGGAGGAAAATCAGTTGGAGATTGTGCCTTTTGAAGTCAATGAACATGGGCATGGCTGTATTGAGCAGTCAATGGCAGAGCTTTTAGATGGCCTTCAGGATAAGACAACTATGGCAAGAGGAAGTTCCAAAATGGTTCTCTGTCTTCTTCAAACATGTTTTTCTCATTCTTTTCCCTTTACATTTTTTCTCTCCCCTGTTTGATCCAGTGTTTGCTTCAGTATAGTAGAAAAAGATGTAAAAGGGGGCAGCCTGTTGTGAAGAGAGTACCCCCACTTGGAGATAGACTTATCGACAGTGAAAGCTCCCCTGAGCACTTAGGCCCTGAATCACCAAGTGATAGCGAGGTATCTCGTTTTTCTGATTGCTTTATAGGCTATTTCCCATTCAAATCAGTACTCTATCTAATGTACATGCTTAAACAGGCTGATGATCAAATTTTGAAGCTTGATAAACCGGAGGTGAAGAGGCAAACATTGGTAGATCGATTTCAGGAAGCTTTAAGTGACAGAGCCCTTGTTACAGTGCCTAAAACATTAAGGTACACGGTGTGATCATGTTATACAAGTGCAGTTGATGCTAGTAGAAGTGCTTCTATACTGATTGCTGAATGTGCTTGTATACTGCCAATTTTGTAGAATTGGATTATTTGGGCAACTGCAGCAGGTCATTCAGAGTGAAAAAGAAAGTGATATGGAATTCTTAAAGAATATTGAGAACGGAGCTAACCAAAGTAATAAGGCCTTGCAATTGTTATATTTTTATTTTATTTCTACAAGCATAGAATACTTGGATACGACAAAGAACTTTGTATATGTGGGTTTGTACTTCTAGGCGAAAAGGAAAAAAATTTCTGTAAGATATATCCTGCGGCCTATTGTTCATCTCCCGTTTCATGTTTATATCTCAGAGGAACCAAGCTGCATCGATGTGAAAATTTGTTCGAGACACTTGGATGCAAAGCTGAAAGTTTGCCACTGCTCCTTTGGCAATAACTTAAAGGTCATGGTAATGATTATTTCTTAGATGTTCTTCCAGCAGCAAGGTTATGAGTGAATACACGTGCACATTTTCTGATGGCTTTGTTAGAAAGGATGAGTGAAGATGCATATTTGTTTGTGCAGAGCCTCCCACAGTCAGAGAGCCCCAAGCACATGCTGAAAGAAGAAACAACACAGACAGTTATTTTCAATCCAAGAGTTTGCAATGATGTTGACCTCGATGCTGGGAAATGGATCCGTATTCACGCTCCATGGTATGAGACTGAAATTTAAACCTTCGCTAGACTTGGCTTATTCTGCGTTACTGTGGGGGTTGGAAATACCACCAGAATTTGATTACTTCTTAGTTGTGTCTTATTCTACTACAAATATCATGATTAATGTGAAGTATGATGGATAAAATATGGGCAGGAAGGAGATTCATGTGGGCAATGACAAAAGCATTATCCTATCCAGTTATTTCTCCCAGATTTGAATTTGAAAAGCTCAGGTTACCAGGATTGGTATGAAATATTTCAGTACAACTTCAAAGTCCACCCAATCCGGTGATGAGCAGGCCTTACATGGGAGGTGGGTTTGAATATCAATTGAAGGTAATCCACAACCTCCATTGGAAAATCTTATTCACGATAAGAACCCTATGCTGCCAGTGCCAGACGGTAATGCTCTGCCTGAACACTGTTACTGCTATCCAAGTGGTGTAGCCAGTGAAGAAGAATGAATTTTTCTTTGAAATGAATGCTGCTTTTTATGGGAGGAGTGCTTGGTGGGTGAATTTTTTTGGTTCAGTTGGTTATGATGGTGGCTATGAGAACGATAAATATTGGTGTCTTTTAACATGGATCTCTCCCTCAAAACCGTTTGTCAACTGTTTAACCCAGTTCTAGTTTGATTTGCAATTGCTATGATTGGCTCAGCAGGATTCAGGAAGCAAGGGAAGCTGCTTTGGCAACTTAAACTTAATAGCTCCGTTGCCAAGCACCATGCGTCTATGCAATCAGATTTTTGTTATTTCTAGCACCATGAACAACGTTACTTCTTACACATGTAGTTTTATTGGGAGCCGATCCCAATCCGTTTAAGTGTACATAAGTTTAGTGACAGATATACGGCACTTGTAAATTAGGATTAGTTTTAAAAAATTGGAATACCGTTGGGTTTTTTTCATTTTGCTAGCGTAACTTGTAAGCGTACTTTTTGTTCAAAATTTTGTTAAAACACCTATTTTGATGGAAATTAAACTCAGGAATTTGATGCCCAAATTTCCACGATTTTTTTCGCGTGTCATTTAATAACTTCCTTACTTAAGTTGCTAAACAAAGGAATTGTTAATTTCTCATATTAAATTCTCGACTTTTAGTTAAATTCCGAGTTATTTTTTCTCATCCAAATGGACTATAATGGATGTGTGGGAATTCTGTTTTTCATTTTGATTTTGGTAGATTTTAATAGAGCTGGTTCCTTTATCTAGCATCAAAGTCGTTGTAGTATAGTGGTAAGTATTCCCGCCTGTCACGCGGGTGACCCGGGTTCGATCCCCGGCAACGGCGTCTGTTTTTGACACTTTTTCTTTGGTCGAGCTTTTTTAAATTAACTATGTTTAGACTTGAGAAATTTACTTAGGCCCATGGATTAATTAATAAATTACTGGAAAAAACGACGAATGGCGGAAGAAGGTGCCCGTTCTATCAGTCATCAGGCGTGGTTCGGACGCGAACGACATCCCGCTTTTGTCGTGCACTCCAATCAACGAATAAAATCACCTGCACTTTCTGGATCACAATTCTGAATTTCACTCGAAGCCTAGCACCTCAAGGACGCTATTGTCCTTCGACCCAAAAAAAATAAAAGGACACTATTGTCTCTTTCTTTTTTGGACGAATACACTATTGTCTCTTTCTTCTCCCTAAATTCACCAAAAATTTCCTGTCCTTTCTCCAATTCTGTGCGCAAACCCGAAAAGGAGCAAACAGTAAATTGAGCACTCTATTATCTCTTAGCTCCTGATATCAAATCAACCCTAAAAAATTCCTTCCAGATCCTCCTCCAATGGCGACCCTCTCTGCCTTTGCACCGCCCTCGTGGCCTGACCCCAACTCCAACGCCACTTTCCTCTCCGAAGCCATCGACGACACCTCGAGTGTCGCCGATTCGTCGATGACAGCCGACGACCACGCCCCCCAATCACCCCCGGACCCTAACCCTAATGTCCACAGCAACCCCTTCTCCGTACCCCAAGAGCTGCCAACCCCTCCTGCGTCACGCTCGCCTCCGTCGCTGTTTCACCTGTCCTTCAACCAGGACCACGCCTGCTTCGCCGCGGGTACGGACCACGGCTTCCGGATCTACAACTGTGATCCGTTCCGCGAGCTCTTTCGCCGGGACTTCGACAACGGCGGCGGAATCGGCGTCGTTGAGATGCTCTTCCGCTGCAACATCTTGGCCATAGTCGGCGGTGGGCCGGACCCTCAGTACCCCACCAACAAAGTCATGATCTGGGACGACCACCAGGGCCGGTGCATCGGCGAGCTCTCCTTTCGCTCCGTTGTCCGGTCCGTACGGCTCCGCAGGGACCGAATCGTCGTCGTTTTGGAGCAGAAGATTTACGTGTACAACTTCGCCGACCTAAAGCTGCTGCACCAGATTGAGACGATCGCGAACCCCAAAGGGCTCTGCGCTGTGTCGCAAGTGGCCGGGTCACTGGTGCTGGTGTGCCCTGGCTTGCAGAAAGGGCAGGTCAGGGTTGAGCATTACGGGTCTAAGAGGACCAAGTTCATCATGGCTCACGATTCCAGGCTTGCGTGCTTTGCGCTCACACCCGACGGCCAGTTGCTCGCCACCTCCAGCAACAAAGGGACTCTAGTTCGGATTTTTAATACGCTTGATGGAACTTTGCTTCAAGAGGTATATTTTTTTATGTTCAAATTATGATGAAAATTTCTGAATTTTGTTATTGCATCATTTTAGATTGGTATGGCATGTCAAATGTTGATATTGGTCGTCATTCGATGCAATGTGTTCTATAGTTGAGCTTCAAGTTCTTGAATTTTGGGGCATCTTATAATAGAGAGGCTTGGGTTTGCTGAAATTGAAAGCCTTGTAGTATCGATAAGCACTTGTAAGTTGCAGATTATTGTTCATGGGCATGGTGATTAATATTTCAGTTTATATGGGAATGGGATGAGTACATTGCGAGGAAGTTTCCTCTACCATTAACAGGGTCTGTGCTAATATTTACTTGATTCATTATTTATGATACATTTTGTAAGCACTTTATAAAACTTAGTTGGTTCAGGGATCTAGATCAGACATGCATTATTACGAAGTCATGTCGCAGGCATGACCTTGTAAGCATGCACATACATGTATGCGTAAACCTAGAAAGCAATTAGAAGTAAGTTTGCCATCAATTGGTCCTGGTAAGAAAAGAACAACAACCCCTTTTGTCCCACCACAGCCAAGTCGAAAACAAATCTTAAACATGATTTTGTTTAAGGGATCCTTATGTTTGAATGACATGGTGTGAGCTGTAAGTTGTAAGTTGAATGACATCGGAAAGTTTTTTTTCTCCAGTTGTGTTCTTGTTTTTTCTAAACTTTGAAGAGGGTGCATCCCTACTCCCTTGGAAATCTGAAATGGTGTTGATGTATGATTACAGATTCAAATTTTTATTTATTTATGAATTCGAGTTAATTGGATGCAAATGCAGGTAAGGAGGGGTGCGGACAGAGCAGAAATCTATAGTTTGGCATTCTCTTCAACTGCCCAGTGGCTAGCAGTCTCTAGTGACAAGGGAACTGTCCATGTTTTCAACCTTAAGGTGAATTCTGGGTCCTCTGGAAATGAGAATTCACGAACTGCATCTGATCCTAATCTTGCTGTTTCATCATCAAACTCCTCTCTTTCTTTCATCAGAGGTAAACTCCCCACTCTCAATATTTGAATTTTTCTGATCTGTTTTCTGTCAGCACTTTTTGAACATTCTACGTAGTTGACAAATTGGTCATATTGGGGATTTCCAATACCATATGCTGAAATACTAGTGAATTTTGAATACCAATAAAGAATAGAGTGCAGTGCATTGTTACTGCGGCACTATAAGATGTCTTAAACCTAAATTTAAGAGCAAGATGAAGTTTATGTGGTTGCGTAAAAGAATTCCTGAGATACCTTTTCTTGCAAAGTCAGATCATTTTGTTGAAAATAATTGTTAGAAATAAGGTACAATCTGATTATCTGAGTGGATGAAGTCTGCTTTTCCTGTGTTTCCTCTCCCTAATTTGTAATACCAAGTGGTACACCGGCAAAGGACATATCATGTTTTTTTTTCTCTGAGGTGAATGGATCTGAGTCTGGTTTTGCTTGCAGGGGTGTTGCCTAAGTATTTTAGCTCAGAGTGGTCTGTGGCTCAGTTTCGCTTGCTTGAGGGCTCTCAATACATTGTTGCTTTTGGTCACCAGAAGAATACAGTGGTAATTCTTGGCATGGATGGAAGGTAAGAAAATAAATTTTAGTCATGTGATGAGTTTGGAATTGAAACTTTGTTATGAAATTTGAATTTGGATGCAGCTTCTATCGATGTGAGTTTGACCCAGTGAATGGAGGAGAGATGACCCAGCTGGAATATCACAACTTTCTAAAGCCAGAAGAAGCCTTTTGAAGTGATATATATATTGTACTATCCATCGTTCCTATCCTACCTACAGTGTTCTAAGTACTGATTGGTCTTCTGCTTTGTTTTTCTCTCCAGTTTTAGCATATGGGTAAATTATGTTGTAAATACATGAGCATGTAAATTTGTAAATTTCTGAGTGATGTACCAACAGTGACTTTAAGAAAAGAAAAGGAAAAAAAAAAAAACTAACTTATAAAGAATATGCTTTGTACTGTTTTTTTATATATCTGTGAATGAAAAGTGTTAATTTTCCCAAATCTGTGGGTTTATGGTGCTAATGGTATAGGCTTTGAGTTTGCTGGCAGCATGCGAGCCTATGAAATTGGCAGACATCATGTGAGAAGTTGGTGTAGGACAACATCCCATGTTTCTCTTTTGATCCCGTGTGAACTTATTGTTATTTTTAATGTCCGCGGCCTGCAGCATGCAGCATCAATCAACCCTAACTCTGAAGTAACTTTTTCCATCTCTTGTCCATTACCATTTGTGTGGGAAATTGCAATTGACCGCTGCTGATGGCCACAGAATGGACTTGTCTTGTGTAGCTCTGATTAAAAATGGACTTGGAGTTTGTGTGATGTTTAAAAATGAGAGCAAATCTCAAGATGCAGGTTGCCAATCATTTTAAATTCACTGCACTGAAATCTTTGTTTGACTGGACAATATTTCATATGCTACACTCTTCATTTCATACAACATTAAATTATACAAAGAACAGTATATGCCCCGATAATTATTGTCTTAAGCATCTGCATCCCATCTGAATGGTGGTAGGGATTCTATAACAAGAGCGTGTGTTGAGGGGTTCAATCCAACCGTTTAATGTGGAGGAGTTCATTAATCAACGGTTATAAAGAATCTCCTTGTGATAACCCTTAACATAGCCCTTCGTTATAGTTATAGTTATAGTTGTTGTGACATGAAAATTATACATTGCTTTGGGCCTTTTGCATAGATTGATTTGAATACACAAAAGTATATTTTAAAGGGAAGATTTAAAAATGCTATTATAGCAGGCAGGCAGATCATTGCATCGGGGCTTACATTCAGTCACGTGAAATCCAATCGAATATAACACAAACATCAGTTAATCAACTGTGGTTGCAATTTTTTTATTTGCAGCAGTACAAGTCGAAATGGTCATGACAGACAGAGAGTATCACAAGGCCGAAGGCCAAGTTATTTATAAGGAGGACCCTGGTTTGCTATCTATTCTCTCATCAACATATCCATAGACATAGAGCTATTAATTTGTAGGACTCTCTGCTCTTGCTCTGCTACTCTAAAAATGGTGCTCAAGCTGCATGGATTTCCTGTATCTCCCTGCACGGCTCGCGTAGAGGCTTGTCTCCATGAAAAAACTCTCGAATTCGAGTTCGTCCCAGTTAATATTTTGGGCCTTGAAAACAAGCAGCCTTCTTTTCTTGCCAAGAATGTAAAATTTCATTTCCATATTTCATTTCCATTAAGTTACAAAAACTTGATAAATTTTTAATTTTATGCATATGTTTATCTTTATAAGCTTATTGTGGTTGGTCATACAACAGCAAAATGTCTGATGATATATTTTTCTCGCCATCTTGTAGCCCTTTGGCCAGATTCCAGCATTTGAAGATGGCGACGTCACACTTTTTGGTAAGTGTCAACTCTCTCACAAAATCTTCACATATAAATATATAACAATATGATATATATTCTAAGTTTCATTTTTACAACACCAGAGTCCAGAGCAATCACAGCATATGTAGCTGAAAAATTCAAGGAAACTGGATATGATCTCATTAGGCACGAAAACTTGAAAGAAGGTGCATTGGTGAAGGTATGGATAGAAGTGGAATCTCAACAATACCACCCAGCAATCTGCCCCATTGTGTATGAGTTTTTCGGGAAGCCTGTGGTGGGCTGTAAGCCCGATCAAACAGTAATCGATGTGAGCTTAGAGAAGCTCGAGAAGGTGCTCGACGTGTACGAGACCAGGCTGAGCAGCAACAAGTACCTTGCTGGTGATTTCTATAGCCTGGCTGACCTTCACCACTTCGCTTACACTTTTTATTTCATGAAGACTCCTTGGTCTTCATTGATAAACGATCGTCCCCATGTTAAGGCGTGGTGGGAGGACATTTCAGCTAGGCCTGCCTCTGTCAAAGTGGCTGAGGGCATGAATTTTGGTGAAGTTGAAATTAAATGAGTGCTTCTTCTATCTATGTATCTGTCTGGTGTGTTTTGGATATGGAACAACTTATCCCCATTTATTGTAGCAGAATAATTTAATACAAAATGTTGTTGTGTGCTCTGTTTCTTTCCTGCTACTGCTAACATATTCAGAACATTATAGAAAATCTGTAGAATTAATCGTGATTAAGGAGTTCTCATTGAAATTTAAAAGAAACAAAAGTACTGCATTGCCAAGTGCTTTCTTCAACCCTTTGCTAGCTAAGATAACATCTCTCCTGGGTCTTGGCCAACTTGTATATCAGCTTTGGACCCCTCCATAGATTTCTCATGGCATGGGACCTCGATAGATTTGTCATTTTCACCCACGGTCCACCTAACAAATTTATCACTTGCTGTCTTCTCTGTTATAAGTCTCCATCTAGAGAGGGCCTTGCTCGATGAAATATTTCAAAGAGGCTGAGATAGCAGCTAATGCTGATGATATTTTTACGTCCCCACAAGAGAAAAACAGTTTTCTTACCTATACCTTAAAAAGTTCCAGAAGCTGTATATCCAAAAGTTGCCCAGACTCTCTACCACTCTCCAAGATGGCTCAGGACCCCTCTACCACTGTTCAAGATGGCTCAGGACTCTTCTTCTTCCTCATCTGATCAGCTGCCCTCTTTATGACTCAGGACTCTTCTTCTTCCTCACCTGTAACTGATTGTAGGTATCAATGATTCTTTTTTATTAATGCCCACTATGTAGATATCAGTGATTGTAAGGGATTGTACAATTACTATATAAATCAATATACAACAGTCCACTATGTATGTGAGGCTTTTACTCATTTTCCAACTCTCTTTCATTCCAAAGGAGCATGGAAGAAATCCCAAACACCCCTGCAAACCCCACTGCAGAGAGGTTACAAAAATACTGTTTAGAAGAAGATTGAAGAACAAGTTGAACACCCTACAAAGCCCATTGCAGAGGTTACTGAAAACCGAGCGGCTATACCCCATTTATTTTTTTAAAAAGGATAATTTATTTAAATAGTACGGCCGATCGGCTATACTCGTTAAATATAACGGCTACACTCTTTAAATATAATAATATATGCAAATAGTATAGCCGGTCGACGATACTATTTATTTAAAAAATAGATAATTTTATTTAAAGAGTACAGCCGCGCGGCTATAATATTTATTTAAAAAATATATAATTTTATTTAAAGAGTATAGCAGTGTGGCGATACCCGTTTAGTAGTTCACCTCCGCGTCCGCCGATCTCACCCACCTTCCAAATTTGCGTTATCTGAAATATGTAAGTATATTGGGTGGCGCTGGCTGTCTGGCATGGGAATTGCAATGCAATGCAACAACTGTTTGGTCAGGTTCCAGTTTTACTGGATAATACTAAAAATGATTTAATGATAATAAAACCCAATATTACTTACTTACTATATAATTATCAGGGTTAATTAGTGTATTAATATTGTAGAGTCGAGAGCGATTATGAGATTTATATCGCATGATGAGTATGAGGCGGCTGTTTGACCAGCACCCACGTTGGTGCACTTCCATACTCAATCGCCCTGCTTGGCTTAAGGTGGTGCAGATGATCGATCGCACCAAATAAACCCGTGATTGATTATATCTCCAAAATTTTAGGGATCATCCTGTAATTAAATAATTAATAAAAATGTTATAACTTATATATGTTATTTATTTGCTCTCTTTAATAATTTTAATTCTTAATGTTTGGATTAACTAAGGGCATTTTCTGGTATTTTGAATGTTTCAAAATTCTTTACCTTTTGCTTTATATATATATATATATATATAATTACATTAAAGATGGGTCAAATATCAGCCAGTTTTTTGCCTTTTAATTACTTGTACTTTTATATGATCTCAATTGTCATCAGCTTGTTTTTGTTGTTGTGAAGAAACGGGGCTAACGTGTAATGAGCCGTTACAGATTCCAAGTAAATTTTCATTAAGAAAAGACCTAATACTATCAGGACGATCATGAAGGTTGATAGACCCAACTTGGGAGTTTAATATTTAATTTTTCAATAACATCAAGTTATTAGACCAACGTTTGAACACCAAGTGAAATTATGTGACAGTTTCTTATTTTCCATACCCTCTATTGTTTGGCTGAAGGATTACTCCTCATTCATCTATGATCTATCCTCTTCTCTTGTAGACTGTCTCTCTGATTTCATCAGATATATCTGATGAGTGATTAAATTCTTCCAATTCTACATTCAAAGAAATAACCAAAGTTGTGTTTCAGATTCAGACGGTTCTCCTGGCCAAGCCCAAACTTAGTTACCTGAAGACGTGTGTTTTTGTTTATTTATTTATTTTTATATTTCTGTAAATAATTGCGAAATACTTTACCAAGTGGTGTTTGACTTGAATAATTGCATTTGCCTTTTAGAAGACTGGAAGGGTGTGCTGTGCGTGCGACATGACATGGGTGCATATGCAAACCCCCGCGCAGTTACTTGGCGGGTGTGGATCTTGGAGAGTTTGACCAAAAGTTTGTCAAACTAAATCTACAAATATATATATTATTAATATTCTTGAAGAGCCACCACAAAAATAATAATTGAAAATGACACTAGGAGAGTCATCGACTACGTATTCAGCTTGCACAGAAAGCCACATGTTTTCACAAAGGCATTGATCAATGATCCCTCCCTCCTCCTACCTTATAAATATATCATTAGGCCTGCCATATCATAAGGTCCAAATCACAACACATCTTTTGCTCAATTTCTTACTTGTTCCAAATCATAACACAGTCATGGCCACCATCAAAGTCTATGGAAACACCGTTTCCACTGCTGCAATGCGAGTTTTTGCTGCCCTTTATGAGAAAGACATCGAGTTCGAGTTTGTTCCGGTTGACATGAGAGCTGGGGAACATAAAAAGGAGCCCATCATTTCCCTCAACGTAAGTATATCACAATGACTTCGAAATTGAATTTGATAGACTAGAATTTTCATGTTTCCAGTCAATCTCACATTTCTGTGCTTGCTTTTGGTGCAGCCATTTGGTCAAATTCCAGCTTTTGAAGATGGAGATCTTAAGCTCTTTGGTAAGTTTTTGTGTTTAGCTCGCTCGCATCAAATTCATACACAGCGTACATGAAATATGAATTTGTGTAACTTGTATTAAAGTGTGCACCTTCTGATATGTGCAGAATCAAGGGCAATTACACAATACATTGCCCACGAGTATTTCGACAAGGGAACCCAGCTGGTGATCCGAGACTCAAAGAAGATGGCAATTCTATCAGTGTGGACGGAGGTGGAGGGTCAAAAGTTCGACCCAGCAGCCTCAAAACTAACCTGGGAGCTAGGCATAAAGCCGCTGCTTGGCATGCCCACAGACTCGGCAGTTGTGGAGGAATATGAAGCCAAGTTGGCTGCGGTTCTTGATGTTTATGAGGCTCGTCTGGCGCAGTCGAAATACTTGGGAGGTGACAGCTTCACCTTGGCAGATCTTCACCACCTTCCAACCATACATTACTTGATCGGGACACAATCTAAGAAGCTGTTCGAATCCCGTCCCCATGTTAGCGCATGGGTAGCTAATATCACTGCAAGGCCGGCTTGGAATAAGGTCATTGCCATGCGAAGCTAGTAGTAAAAGACTGCTCTTGCTGGCTACTCAACAGTCATGTATCTTCAATAATTCCATGTATTTTGGCTTTATATATGCCTTTGATTTTCTTTTTCCATAAATGGTTGGACAAAACTCTTCTGCTGCTGCTGCTGATGTTGTGGTAGTTGTCTTCCATCCTCAATATGAAGATTGATGCCTTATGCATTTGCTTTAACAATCTGTTTTTGGTGTTTGAAGTTTGTGTTTTCCTATCCAGTAGCTGATCTCAACTGTCTTCATCTAAAATTCAAAAAAAATAACCAAGCTGCAAGCAGAGCATTCACCATCCAATAAACTTGATGTAGTCAGTGAAATGAAACAACCCAACCCAATTCAATAATAGAACAGAACCAACCCCCACTAAAAGAATTGCAAATACAATGTGACTTATTGTGCTAACAGTTGAGTAACTTGGTCAGAGGGTTCAAATTCCACAGAACTACAGCCCAAGTCTTTCTGTTTCATCATCCCCCTCACTTTCTCAACATCATTCCATCTTCCCATCTCTGCATAAATATTAGACAGCAGAACATAGTAAGCACTATTCCCTGGCTCTAGTTCAACAAGCTTCCGAGCTGCAAACTCGCTCAATTCCAAGTTCCCATGAGTTTTACCACCAGCCAGCAATGACCCCCAAATAGCTTTAGTAGGCTCATAAGGCATTTCTCTTAAGCATTTCAAAGCATCTTCAAGATACCCAGAACGTGCTAACAGGTCAATCATACAAGCATAATGTTTCACCCCGGGCAAAAATCCATACTTCCCATCGCTCAAGGAACGAAAAATCTGCCTACCAATATCTACCAACCCCGAATGACTACAAGCATTTAAAACCGAAACCAAAGTCACTTCATCTACTCTGATCCCTTCTTGTTCCATCCTCTTAAACCACCCAACTGTCTCCTTACCATTTTTAGCAAGAGCTAGCCCTTTAATAAGTGCATTCCAAGTAAAGGTGTTCTTCTCTTTCATGCTATTGAAAACAGCCAAACCTTCTTCAATCCTACCACATTTTCCATACATATCAATCAAAGAAGTTCCCAATATTACATCCAATTCCCAGTCACTCCTCCTTATAAAGTCATGTATCCAAACACCCATCTCAAGGGCCCCGAAATTTGCACAAGCAGCTAAAGCATTCACCATTGTCACATGATTGGGGACCACACCAGCATATTGCATCTGTTCAAAAGAAATCAAGGCATCATCATAATTCTCAGAGTTCCGGTACCCCATTATTAAAACCGTCCACGACACAACATCTCTCTGGGGCATTTCATCAAACACCTGTCGACAAAACTCCATACGGCCACACGATGCATAGACATTCAATAACGAGTTTTGCACGTAAATATCATAGAGATGACCCAATTTTAAGACATGGGTATGCAAGCATTGCCCTTGTTTGAAGTCGTGGGAATCAGCTAGGGACTTTAGAAGGAAAGGGAAGGTGAAGTTATTGGGAAGAATAGAGCTTTTATGCATGTGGATGTAGATAGAGAGAGGGATATGATTATGAATCTGATTACGAGGAGTGTGGGAGTGAGAGAATGCTCTAATGAGAGAATTGCAAATGAAAACATGGGGTTTGGGAAGCTGAGTTAGGAAGTGAAATTCCCAAGACTTTTTAACAAAAAATAAATATAAAAAAGTCTCTAAAGTAAATTTTCAAAATCAAAATTCTAAATTAGGCCCACTAGAATTTTGAGTGAGAGGGCACGCTTGGCAACAGTTTTTATTGTGCAATAACACACTTAGCACCGTCCAAAGTGTTCTTGAGTAACATTGCAACAGTCATTGGGCCGACACCTCCAGGCACAGGAGTTACCCATCCAGCAACCTTACATGCTTCCTGGAAATCAACATCTCCCACCAATCTATAGCCTGACTTTCTACTCGAGTCGTCTATTGCATTTGTGCCGACATCGATGACTGCAGCACCTGGTTTTATCCAACTACCCTTGATCTGAAATTCAATAGATACACTGATTAACAAAAATTTAAATAGATTTTTCATCGATTTAAAACGTATAGGACAGACAGAAATGATGTTTGCTCCACTAACAGATTTCATGTCAGTCATTTCATCGAAGCAATGATACAACTTAGTGAAGAGACGCATTGCCTTACAACTTCGCAGTAAAAACGATGGAAGTACCAGGGCCCAAGAATTTCCTTTTTCCTTCACGTGGGATGAATGGGACGAAACAACCAAGTACACCTATTCTCTTAGTTGCATTTCAGTTTTCTTGTGTAAGCTAAGCATATAGAAAGGTGTTTGAAGTATTTAACTATGTACAAGTTGTGTATACTGAAAAATATGGAGCTGTTAGTATATGGCATCCACTGTTCTGTGCTAGTATTCATGGGTGAACTACCTTGGTCTTCAGCACTATTTTTAACTAGAAATCTCATGGGAAGCCAAACAAATATTAAACGAGATAAAACATGTATGTCATAAGACAATGTTACTCCATATCAAGGAACAACAATCTGTGAACTACCTACCATCATTGCCTGCCCTGCTGCAGCAATAATAATGTCCGCTTCACGAATGATATTCTCCGGATCATGAGAATGAGAATGGACTACGGTAACTGTAGCATCTGCTTTCAAAAGCAGTAATGAAACCGGCAATCCAACTATGTTACTTCTGCCCACCACCACTGCCTTCTTTCCCTTTATGCTTATGCCACTCCGTGACAGAAGTTCCAGACAGCCCTGCAGAGAAAACCATCTCATAAAACAAAACCGCTAACTGCCTCATGAAAGCCTCTCACAGCTCCATATATGTGTGTGCGTCTGCATCTATCTGTGTTTGATTTGAATAGATAACTCAATTGTCTTGCCTTGGGAGTGCAAGGAAGGAATAGAGGTTCTCTGCCTTTCATTGCAAGCTTGCCAATGTTGAGAGGATGAAAGCCATCGACATCCTTGTCAATGCTGATTTCACTTAACACTTTCTCCTCATTTATATGCTTTGGCAACGGAAGCTGAACTAGTATACCTGCCAACAAAATAAAACATACTTTCACAACTAACAAATGAAAATATAGCACTGGTTTCACTAAGCTTGAATGAAAAAAAAATTGGTAATTAACAAGTGAGCCACCATCATTCAAGTAACCAACCATGTACATCGGGATTGGCGTTTAATTCATGAACTTTGGCAATGAGGTCAACTTGGGACACATCCTCAGGGAGGTCAATGTCCAAGGATAGAATGCCAACTTCAGCACATGCCTTTCGCTTCATGCTCACATAGCTTTGGGAGTCCTTTCTGTTCCCTACTATCACTACTGCCAGTCCCGGAACCTAAATCATTGCATAATTGCATTGTCAAAATCCATCCACTAAGTAATTACAAAATTAAGTTGAGATAGAGCAGACCTTGCCATATTTCTGGGAGAGATGGCGGACTTCCTCAGCAATTTCGTTTCGGATGGTCTGCGCTATGGCTTTGCCATCGATTATCGCAGCCTTGTGATCTGATTGTGATGCCATTGATCAACCACTCACTCAGTCTTGAAGAGATGAGGGTTTCTGATGAGGAGGAGCTCCAACCTCAATGTGTTACTGTAATCCACTAAAACAAATTATTCACAAATGATTCCAATTTCCAATTGCTACTTGATTCCAGATTTATATTATCACAAATGAATGGCAAACTAATTATGGAACAGATCAAATCCCAAGCTGCTAGCCTTGGAAAGCCATTCTCTTAAACAAAACTAATCGAAAAAGGAGAAGCTAAAAGCATCCGCATAGATTTTCTCTTACCTTTGCCGATTCACGGAGTTATTGGTTGGTGGGTGCTGTCGTTGCCGTTGAGTAGTAGCTACGGTTATGAGAGAGAAAAGTGTGTGTGTGTGTGTGTGTGTGTGTGTGAGAGAGAGAGAGAGTCTGAGAGAAGGGTAAGGGTCACTTTGGGATTTTTCACACTTCATTTTTTTCCTTCTTATTTTCACAAAATTCTTTAGATTTTGAAAATTACATTAATACTCCAAATGACAAAATTAACTTGAAAGATGTTTTACCAAAATTTATCTCGCATTTTGTGGCGTGTATCTGGATTAACCCTATGTGGTTACTATGCTTTCATATTTGTATTCCCTAGGGTTGGCATTTCCGGAGTATCCAGGACTCCGTTTTACAATTTGTCGAATCCTACACGATCCTACGGGTATCTAGAGTAACATACTTCAATTTGAAAACGATCCAACGGTCGGAACATATCGAACCCGGATAACGCACAATATGCGATAATCTGTTCGATAGTCAGACGACCTCAGAATCGAGATCCGCGAAATTCTACGTGCTCGTGACAACTTAAAGATTACATTGGAACAGTTTGCAGCTCCACCACACTTGCCCACGTGCCGCCACACGCGCCGGCAGCAAGTGCAGAGAAATTCCGGCGACGGAAAATCTCCAAATCATAAGTCACCCTCCCGGCTACAGGTCCTACTCAACTAGGGGAGCACTTCATTCAACTACGGCCAAGCCCAAAACCACCGGGAACTGGCCGGAATTTCGAATTGAAAACCGGCCAAAAACCTAATTCGAAAATAACTTCCAAAACCTCAAAATCGTTTCAATCCTAAGCAACAGGCAGCTAGAACATATAAAAAGAAGGAGAATTCTCACCTTTAACGCCGGAAAAGGACGACTGAAACTGTGGTGCAATAATCGGAAAACCTCCAATTTGAACCAGTCGATACTGCCGACTATTCTCGAGAGAAAGAGAAAGTGAAATGAAATTGAAGAATCTGATTTTTACAAATACCCTTTTCGAATTATTTACGATTTTGCCACCGAAAGAAATTTCATTGCCAAAACTTCGTTATAACTCCGACTCAAGCCTACCGCCTGTCTACGAATTCATCTCAGAACCACCTACGCAGCCAAACCACTTGTGGTCTCAAAATTCTTCCGGACAAGGAAATGACCGAAATACCCTACCCCAAGGGTAGTTTCGTAATTTCACAGTTAATTTAATTTTAACCTTTTGAATTGGAAAATTAAATAGAGTCGGGGTGTTACACTAATGGTCGTTGTGCCCAATATATGAATACAATTATCGCTTTTCTCTAAAAATAAAAATAAAAACTTGAAAGATTAATTGCAATCCACACCCTATCGAAAACCCCTTATGTACTTCTCTATTTCAAATTCTTTGATTTTCATATTGTAAAATTCGATTTTCAAACTAAAATGTTTGGTTTGATATTGATCTATTTATTTATTTTATCATACCAAGTGGCCGCGCGGCTATACTATTTATTTTAAAAAGATTTATTCAAAGAGTATAGCCGTGCGGCTATACCCGTTTAGTAGTTCACCTCCGCGTCCGCCGATCTCACCCACCTTCCAAATTTGCGTTATCTGAAATATGTAAATATATTGGGTGGCGCTGGCTGTCTGGCATGGGAATTGCAATGCAATGCAACAACCGTTTGGTCAGGTTCCAGTTTTACAGGATAATACTAAAAACGATTTAATGATAATAAAACCCAATATTACTTACTTACTATATAATTATTAGGGTTAATTTGTGTATTAATATTGCAGAGTCGAGAGCGATTATGAGATTTATATCGCATGATGAGTATGAGGCGGCTGTTTGACCAGCACCCACGTTGGTGCACTTCCATACTCAATCGCCCTGCTTGGCTGAAGGTGGTGCAGACAATCGATCGCATCCAAATAAACCCGTGATTGATTATATCTCCAAAATTTTAGGGATCATCCTATAATTAAATAATTAATAAAAATGTTATAACTTATATATGTTATTGATTTGCTCTCTTTAATTACATTAAAGATGGGTCAAATATCTGCCATTTTTTTGCCTTTTAAGTACTTGTACTTTTATATGATCTCAATTGTCATCCATTTGTTTTTGTTTTTGTGAAAAAACGGGGTTAACGTGTAATAAAGCCTTACAGATTCCAAGTAAATCTTCACTAAGAAAAGACCTAATACTATCAGGACGATCATGGAAGGTTGATAGACCCAACTCAACTTTGGGAGTTTAATATTTCATTTTTCAATAACATCAAGTTATTAGACCAACGTTTAAACACCAAGTGAAATTATGTGACAGTTTCTTATTTTTCATACCCTCTATTGTTTGGCTGAAGGATTACTCCTCGTTCATCTATTATCTATCCTCTTCTCTTGTAGACTGTTTCTCTGATTTCATCAGATATATCTGATGAGTTTCCAATTCTACATTCAAAGAAATAACCAAAGTTGTGTTATCATTGTAATATCATTAAGCCACCGGGCTACATTGTAATCTCATTAAGCCCAAATATATGTTTCAGATTCAGACGGTCCTCCTGGCCAAGCCCAAACTTAGTTACCTGAAGACGTGTGTTTTTGTTTTTATTTTTATTTTTATATTTCTGTAAATAATTGCGAAATAGTTTACCAAGTCGTGTTTGACTGGAATAATTGCATTTGCCCTTTTAGAAAACTGGAGGGTTGTGCTGTGCGTGTGACATGACATGGGTGCATATGCAAACCCCCGCGCGGTTGGTGTGTGTGTGGTTCTTGGAGAGTTTGGCAAAAAGTTTGTCAAACGAAATCCACAAATATATATTATTAATATTCTTGAAGAGCCACCGCAAAAATAATAATTGAAAATGACACTAAGAGAGTCATCGACTACGTATTCAGCTTGCACAGAAAGCCACATGTTTTTCACAAAGGCATTGATAACTGATCCCTCCCTCCTCCTACCTTATAAATATATCATTAGGCCTGCCATATCATTAGGTCCAAATCACAACACATCTTTTGCTAAATTTCTTACTTGTTCCGAATCATAACACAGTCATGGCTACCATCAAAGTCTATGGAAACACCATTTCCACTGCTGCAATGCGAGTTTTTGCTGCCCTTTATGAGAAAGACCTCGAGTTCGACTTTGCTCCGGTTGACATGAGAGCTGGGGAACATAAAAAGGAGCCCGTCATTTCCCTCAACGTAAGTATATCACAATGACTTCGAATTTTAATTTGATAGACTAGAATTTTCATGTTTCCAGTCAATCTCACATTTCTGTGCTTGCTTTTGGTGCAGCCATTTGGTCAAATTCCAGCTTTTGAAGATGGAGATCTTAAGCTCTTTGGTAAGTTTTTGTGTTTAGCTCGCTCACATCAAATTCATACACAGCATACATGAAATATGAATTTGTGTAACTTGTATTAAAGTGTGCACCTTCTGATATGTGCAGAATCAAGGGCAATTACACAATACATTGCCCACGAGTATTTCGACAAGGGAACCCAGCTGGTGATCCGAGACTCAAAGAAGATGGCAATTCTATCAGTGTGGACGGAGGTGGAGGGTCAAAAGTTCGACCCAGCAGCCTCAAAACTGACCTGGGAGCTAGGCATAAAGCCGCTGTTTGGCATGCCCACAGACTCGGCAGTTGTGGAGGAATATGAAGCCAAGTTGGCTGCGGTTCTTGATGTTTATGAGGCTCGTCTGGCTCAGTCGAAATACTTGGGAGGTGACAGCTTCACCTTGGCAGATCTTCACCACCTTCCAACCATAAATTACTTGATGGGAACACAATCGAAGAAGCTGTTCGAATCGCGGCCCCATGTTAGCGCATGGGTAGCTGATATCACTGCAAGGCCAGCTTGGAATAAGGTGATTGCCATGCGAAGCTAGTAGTAAAAGACTGCTGTCGCTGGCTACTCAACAGTCATGTATCTTCAATAATTCCATGTATTTTGGCTTCATATATGCCCTTGATTTTCCTTTTCCATAAATAGTTGGACAAGACTCTTCTGCTGCTGCTGGTGTTGTGGTGGCATGCCTTTGAGTTCTTGTCTTCCATCCTCAGTATGAAGATTCGTATGCCTTTACAATCTGTTTTTGGTGTTTGAAGTTTGTGTTTGCCCATCCAGTAGTTGATCTCAACTGTCTTCATCTAAAATTCAAAAGATAACCAAGCTGCAAGCAGAGCATTCACCATCCACTAAACTTGATGTAGTCAGTGAAATGGAAACAACCCAACCCAATTCAATAATAGAATCCCTTGCAAATACAATGTGACTTATTGTGCTAACAGTTGAGTAACTTGGTCAGAGGGTTCAAATTCCACAGAACTACTGCCCAAGTCTTTCTTAAGGTCTTTCTGTTTCATCATCCCCCTCACTTTCTCAACATCATTCCATCTTCCCATCTCTGCATAAATATTAGACAGCAGAACATAGTAAGTACTATTCCCTGGCTCTAGTTCAACAAGCTTCCGAGCTGCAAACTCGCTCAATTCCAAGTTCCCATGAGTTTTACCACCAGCCAGCAATGACCCCCAAATAGCTTTAGTAGGCTCATAAGGCATTTCTCTTAAGCATTTCAAAGCATCTTCAAGATACCCAGAACGTGCTAACAGGTCAATCATACAAGCATAATGTTTCACCCCAGGCAAAAATCCATACTTCCCATCGCTCAAGGAACGAAAAATCTGCCTACCGATATCTACCAACCCTGAATGACTACAAGCATTTAAAACCGAAACTAAAGTCACTTCATCTACTCTGATCCCTTCTTGTTCCATCCTCTTAAACCACCCAACTGTCTCCTTACCATTTTTAGCAAGAGCTAGCCCTTTAATAAGTGCATTCCAAGAAAAGGTGTTCTTCTCTTTCATGCTATTGAAAACAGCCAAACCTTCTTCAATCCTACCACATTTTCCATACATATCAATCAAAGAAGTTCCCAATATTACATCCAATTCCCAGTCACTCCTCCTTATAAAGTCATGTATCCAAACACCCATCTCAAGGGCCCCGAAATTTGCACAAGCAGCTAAAGCATTCACCATTGTCACATGATTGGGGACCACACCAGCATATTGCATCTGTTCAAAGGAAATCAAGGCATCATCGTAATTCTCGGAGTTTCGGTACCCCATTATT